TTTAATCAGTTTGGAAAAAAACATATTTTATTTTACTATCACAACAATAACTTCTTATCATACATATAAAATAGTAAGCCAAACTCATTGCCAAAAAATTTGTTCACACAATTATAGGCTTTATGTACGGGATTTGATATAAGCTTCTTATCTGAACAAAATAGCTATATCAAAAACTTTGGTAATATTTTTTTTCTAATTGCCTCAAATGTATGTTCTAATAGATGGACCTTATTTAACCTTGTCAATAACACTATTTTTTACTTCTAATATAAATTTGATACTCAAACTTCTAAAACTACTGATCTCCAAAACATATCTAATAATTCTGGCCCTGCACACAAGAATGAAAAGCCATTGATGGATGTTTCAATTTGTTTTAACTCATTTCCCATTGCTGGGATATATTTCCGTCAGTCGATACAACTTGGTAACATCAGCATTTTCTTTGTATAGGCAAACTAACTACTAATATAACTCTAGTCATCAATGGTTTCTTGAAATTGTACCTTTTGGAAATGATTATAAATTAACATAAACACATCATCATATCTAATAAATTAATGAAAATTATCTGATATAATCATGTAATCACTTGGGTTATATGTTACAATAACACTAGATGATAAATTACAAAAGCAATCTAAATGTTTTTTGATGTACTTCTGCTGTCATGAACACTATGATGTACTGAGTGACCTGAGGTGAAGCCCGACATAAAACTAACTACATGCTTCTGACCTGCTGCCATTTTTGGCCTATTCCATCTTTGGTTATGTAGATAGGATATGACACATATGATTTGAAAAACTGCAAGTCAGTAATATGATGGTCCATATTATTATTACTTATAATATCATCATCTTGGTGATAATTACTGTAATAACAATGACTTTTTGTATGGTAGAGATGGAGCATTAGTTGCTACTTACTCACTGTAAAGACATTTGCAGCCACCTCTCTGTGAATGAAATAGTCCACACCATGATCAATTCCTTGAGATAACAAAACTGAAGTGGACATTCATGCACTTTTTGTATTCTACATGCATTAAATACTAATATCCTACAGACAGATATGAAAAAAAGAAAAAAATATTATTTAAAGTAATCATAATTCAATTAAAATAATATATTGGTAACTAGATCTAATGTGTGATTATTTTTGGGTTATCATGGGTATGAAGTTTGAGATGGCAACTGATGGTTTCACACTAGCTTTATCAGTCTAACTATATAAAACATAGTATTTATAAATAACAGAATGTCAATATGTCAAAATAAGCAGTCCTAGCACATAAAACAAACAGAAATTTCCACTTTATCCCTTGAACTGCAATTCCAGAGAATCTTGCTTTCTTATACTTTTCTTCTGAATAATTAGAAAATGCCTACATGTCTCTACTAATGTTATCTAAATATTGTACAAAATACATTCCTAATTCTACGTGGTTCAAAATCAGTAGGCACCTATTTCCCTTTCATCTTAAAGTTACATATACCATCTAACATTTAAAGCTCTGTAATTGTCATATATATTTATATGGAAATAATGATATATAAAATTAAAGCACCAAAAATATAAATGTTATTTAACTTGAATATTGTCCATACTGATCGATAAAAAATTCTTCCCATTATTTTATTTTTTAAATATATAGTACTGTAGCTATTGTTTTCTTTTGTATATTGAGCTGGAATCATGATGTCACAGGTTAAATTACTGAATATATAATAAAACCAGGAACATTGTTAACCCATTCGCGCCGGGTAAAAATGAACAAAAAATGGGGGAAAATGCTGTGCTCATTTTTTATACTTTTTGTGAAATTTCTCTACACTAGATGGCTCTGCCTTACCTGATTTCATTTGGCGGGAAAATGTATTTTTACTAGTACAATGAATATCGATGGTTATTTTTATTATAAACATTATAATTACTATAATGTTAGTAACAGCAAAATAAGATAACGTATAATATTTTCGTAAATTAAAGAAAAGAGTAAATAGGCGAGACAGGCAGTACAAGTACAAGTGCAGCCATCTATGTGTAAAAACAATTAAACAAGTAAACTCAAAGTGGGCCCGTCACATATACGTGACACCCGGTGTGAATGGGTTAAGTGAATCACTGCAATTCTACATTTTGACTTCTACTGTATTTATGATGAAAACATTATTACTCCTTACTATTAAGGATCTCCTGTGGCATCATACACACAAATATTTTCTTCAAGAAGAAACAAATGAATTGGAATACCATATGAGTCTACATCTTAACTTCACAGATCAGTCTGTAATTACCTCTGGGGCATGAGAAAGTAAAAAAATATCTAAAAATGTTTCATCACAATGGTATTAAGCAGCCATCCACAGTTGCTGGCATACAATGAACACAAAAAGTATGCTGAGGGTTAATTACCCATTTATGCTTTTGAAAATCTCTAAAAGTATTACTTCATACTCAAAATGTTCTTTGGGTATCAACATTTCTGCTTCTA